GTGACCTTAGCACAGTTTCCCCCCCAGTGCTTTCCCTGGTCACAGCCATCCTTAGGCTTGACCTTTTTGTCCTTTCGAGTGACTTTCCCTCCCTTCGAGGGCCAGTTCTTCAGCACACTGGCCTACCCCACACCCTGTCTCCCCTCATGCATTGTGGTTTGGACCATCATGCTTTTCCCATTTTCTGAAGCTATTCAAGATGAATGAGTTTACCGAGGCTGCTGTTTCAGGATCCTGCCGGGAATCAAGGAGCCCTGGTGAACCGTAGAGGTTGCTTGTTGGGCTGCGATCCACAGAGTGTGCAGTTGGAAACCACCAGGCACTCTGAGGAAGAAAGACGGGGCTTTCTACTCTCATACGGGGCTGTCTACTCTCATAGTTACAGTGTTGGCAGCCCGCAGGGGTAGTTCTACCCTGACCTACAGTCACCAGGAGTCAGAATTGACTGGATGGCAGTGAGTTTGTTTGTTGTTTAACCAGGAAGTTTAGCTGCTGAGCTACAGCTGACACTGTAGCAAAGCCTCATCAATGTTGTCCTGAGTTGGTTGTGGTTTTCAAAGTTCTTGTTTTATGTATGAATGACCTTTTTGTTATCAATTTAATTTCTTGTGGTTTGTTAGATTAACTGTCCATGAATAATGATACATATTTATCTTAATTGTGGCCTGTAACTGTTTTAGTGTCTTGACTTTAAGCATACATCAGAGATAATGCAGGTTTGGTTCCTAACCACTGCAGCACAGATTTTGCCAGAGTGAGTCACGCAAATTTTTGGTTTTCCCGGTACATATGAAAGTTGTTTTCCCTACACTGAAGTCTAGTAAGTGTGCAGTAGCTTTATGAGGAAGATTGAAAGATTGTGAGGATTCTTATAACACGACAGAGGCACAAAGTGAGCACATGCTGGGTGAGAAATGGCACCGTAGACTTCCGCGACCCAGAGCTGCCTCAAACCTTTCATTTGTAACAAGTGCAGTATCTGCCAAATTCAATACACTGAAATGCGCCTGCATATATTTTGGTTCAAATATGAATTACATATTGGGTTCAAAACATATTTGGTTCAAATATGTTTCATTGTATCACCAAGTTCGTTTTCCACTGTAAAGAGGGCTTTGGGGGTAGATGGATCAAGGTAGTTTGTACGGTAAGGGAGCACAGTGGGAAAAAACGGTTTGGTGGTTTTCGTAGACTCGATGTATCCCTGTCAGGGGCTTTTCATTTGTCACTGTCGCCTTTGCTCTGGCACAGAACTGTGTATCTTACGATCAGAACCAAGCTCTGATACGAACATCCTATAATTCAAGTAGTGCCTACTATCTTTATCTTTAGTCTTGCTCTCAGGTCGGCAAACTTTCAAGATGGAAGAGGCGATCCTGTCCCTCACAAAAATTTAAAAGTTATTCAAGAGCCATTAATACATTCTTACAGATACTTGAAATCACCATTATCTGAATACTATCCTTTAAATGTTTTTTTCATTTTTACTTCAGAGCCACACGTACATCCTGAAAGAGCTGCGGATGGCTCCAGAGCTGCAGTTTGTCAACCCTGATGTAGCACATAGGTTCCCAAACTTATTTGGCTTTACCCCCCTTTCAGAAAGCAAACAGACAAACAACAAAAAACTTACTCCGGGTCCCCCTGGCAATTAAAACCTTTTGTGCTGTAGCTCATAATCCAGGACAAAGCGAGGGTGGTCGGCCTTTGTAGGACAGTGCCCCTCCCGGGGCGGGTGCCAACCACTTTGGAAACACTGGTCCAGCTTATCCCTGCCCAGTTTCACAGGGGGATGATCTCACCTCCCTTAAACCAGTGTGAGGCAGGAACGTGCACAGACTCGATTCTTCAGACCTGGGCCGTTCCCTGGAAGATTATGATTATCTCCTGCTTTTCTGTCGCAGTCATTCAAGAAGTTTGACTAAGGCTTTACTTTCTCTTCCCCAATTACTGTACTCTCCACGGTAAACTCTCAGCTCATGTATCTCTTTTCATATTAGATCTTTTCCATTTCATCCATTTTTTTTTTTCAGGTGTTAAAATAAAGTTGTTGGGTTTTTAAAATTATTTTATTGGGGGCTTGTACAATTCTCATCACAATCCATATGTCCACAATCCATATACATCCATTATGTCAAGCACATATGCACATTTGTTGCCCTCATCATTCTCAAAACCTTTGTCTCCCACTCTAGCCCCTAATATCAGTTGCTTATTTTCCCCTCCCTTCCCATGCCCCCTCCCTCATGAACCCTTCATAGATCATAAATTATTATAGTTTTATCATAAGTTACCCTGTCCGATGTTTTCCTCCAACCTCTTCTCTGCTGTCCATACCCCAGGGAGGAGGCAATACTTAGATTCTTGTAATTGGTTCCTCCTTTCTACCCCACATTCCCTTCACCCTCCAGGCATCACCCCTCTCACCACTGGTCCTGAAGGAGTCATCTATGCTGGATTCCCTGTGTTTCCAGTTGCTATCTGTACCAATGTATATCCTCCGGTCCAGCCAGATTTGTAAGGTAGAATTGGGATCATGATAGTAGGAGGGAGGAAGCATTAAAGAACTGGAGGAAAGTTATATGTTTCATCGTTGCTACCATGCACCCTGATTGGCTTGTCTCCTCCCCACAACCCCTCATCTTTTGAGGTTGCAAGGAGCCCTGGTGGCGTAGTGGTTATGCATTGGATTGCTAACTGCAAGGTCAGCAGTTCAGAGTGACCAGCTCTTCGAGGGTGAAATATGAGGCTTTCTACTCCTGTAAGGAGTTAAAGTCTCAGAAACCCACAGGGGCCGGTTCTACCTTACCCTATAGGGTCGCAATGAGTCGGAACGGCCTTGATGGCAGTAAGTTTGGCTTAAAACAAAAAATACAGCTTCAGACCCCCACAAGGGCGCGTTCTACTCTGTCCCGTGTGGCCACTGTAAGTGGTACTCAGTGGCAGTGAGTTTGGTTTTTGAGGTTGCATTTTTAAGACATTAGTTACTTAGCTGCTTCTAATAGAAGAGGAACTAAAGGACAGATAACAATAAAGCAGATAAAAGATTAGTTTTTTAAATAAATCATTTTATTGGGGGCTCATATAACTCTTCTTACAATCCATCCATCCATCCATTGTGTCAAGCACATTTGTACATTTGTTGCCATCATCATTCTCAAAACATTTTCCTCCTACTTGAGCCCTTGGTATCAGCTCCTCATTTTTCCCCCTCCCTCCTTTCCCCTCCCTCTGTCATGAACCCTTGATAATTTATAAATTATTATTTTTCCATGTCTTACACAGTCTGATGTTTCCCTTCACCCACTTTTCTGTTGTCCCTCTCCCAGGGAG